TCCACTAAATGGATCATATATTTCCCTCATACTGCGTTTAAGTACAAGCAAACCAGACTATATCACACCATAAAATAGAAAATAACAAATATACAAGATCGGACCCAAAAATGGTTGTGACTCTAAGAGACTGTACTAATAAATTTGGAATGACAGGAATAGTAAATCGTATAATATTAGTCAATAGGTCAAATAAAAGCTTATGAAAAAGGAATATAAATATATGTAATCCAATTACCTAACAGTTATGCAATAAGAATACATATATATGAATCCTTAAATAATTCCTAGCCGTGACCATTCATTTATTCTTCGTTAAGATATAACAGTCATCATTAGGTAATAACAAAGCGCTAACAGGCAGCTGACCTAAATCACCACTTACATGTTAGTATATTCGACTATTTTCACAGCCAGGCAGGTAGATAAAGTTTGGTAGAGATCGGAACGTACTACCTACTGGTTCAAAGTTGAATATTGTAATCATTAAAGCACATTTTCACTAGTGCTGTATAAATCTATAGTCTAAGCCCATTATAACCACTCAATTTTAAACAAATGACTACTACAAACAGAGAATCACAATGATTCTTACTAAGCAAATAAGAAGACTAAATAGTATTTTCAATATCCCAAAAGAAGCTGTCCTCGTAATGTTCCTTTCAAATGAACTATTGTTGATGGAAACTATATATCTATGAATAAAGTGGTACTAGCTCAGATAAGGAATGATCCATGCACTTCAACAGAACTGATTAATAGTAGTTTCAATTAGATGTGAGCTAGTTTAGTGTATATTAGACATAAGTGTTATAATATTACTGGTGTTTGGCAATATAACTCTAAGAATTCTTGATAACAGTTTTTATACTAAAGAAAACATATTCATCTCTTTATTTAACTAATAATGAAATCATTAGGTGGTTTGGTTGAAGTTAGACAATGACACCGCTGGATGCCGACTCAACGGTCTAAAGGTTAAGAGACCGATAGGTCCTGTGTTCGAATCTTGAGGGGAAAGATGGTGGATGCGCACTGCTGAAGTGTCTTATACTAAGACGAAATGGCCGTCGAGTGCTTCCAGATTCTCTGTGGTTGTCTCATGAATTGAACTTTAAAAGTTATATTTAAAAATATAATAAGTACAATCCCAAATTAAAATTTTGATTCTTTATAGAATAAAATTTTATCGTTTGTCCAAAATACACTAAACTTTTACTTAAATAATCATTAAAATTATTATAAACTTGAATAAATAGGTTGGAAAATCATTAATCTTTTCTGTCATATGTTCAAGACAGTGAACAGTTTGAATTCTTTCTTTTATTTTTTTTCCTAAAAAAAAGAGGTATTTTATGTTAAATAACTACAAAGTAGAGAAATACATTCTTGATTAATTCTTGATTATCAATTGATTATGACATACAATTATTGTCATGAATTATACCTTAACATACCAACTACGTTTATATTTTATATCCGATTGATTAAATTTTCTTTGACGGATCGATATTGAAATGTGCTTAAAAGATTTCCGACTCATTTATGTACATGATTAAAAAATAATCCATTTTTATAAATACACAATTGTTTCGTTTAAGTTACTTTATTAATAGCCTTGGACTTACAAAGAGATATTTTTTAATAGTTGAGATCATGAGTCAATTGATGCTAGACCACCGTGGAAAACCTGGAAGCACTGGACGGCCGTTTCGTCCTATTATGGGACTCCTCAGCAGCGCGCATCCCACAATAGGACGAAACGGCCGTCTAGTGCTTCCAGGTTTCCCATGGTGATCTAGCTTCAATTGACTCATGATTCCAACTATTGAAAATACTACAATCTCCACAAAACCCCTTCAGATATTTTTTAGTTTAAAAATATGGCAATTTTTAATGAAATCATTATTCTGTATAACTCGGTAGTTAGATATCTTTTACCTTCATGTTAATGTTTTATTTAATACTCGAACTTGAAACATTCAACTTTAAATGTTTGGATAATATTTGTCACAACATGCTCTCTAGTTAACAATTATTAAAGAGAAAATATAACTTATTTCCTTGTTGACTCAATGGACTGAATCTGGTACACCTTGTTGAGTAGTATAAGTTACTAGTAATGATATCATGACTATATATTTGTCGACAACTAGTTGTTAAATACGGAACATTTACTAGTTCAATTTATATGACATTAGATGGATATACTTGAATATATTTACAACCTGATTACTTTTCTTGTTGTTAAACGACGTAAGTCTTTACTAGTATGTAGTACAAACTAAAAGTGAATTATCTCTACAAACGTTCCTTGCTAATAACACTGACCTGCTCACTAATAACTAACGTCTTTGGAAATTTCAGAATTCTAATTGGAGATCACGATCTCCAGAAATTAATATTGTCTGGTGATCAATGATAATGTGTGATAGTCATGCTATATCCCCAATTAATAGGAAATGAAAATCCAAGCCATTGGGTGTTAACCTAATGATCTAGAGTGTACAAGACCTGAAAATTATGGATTCGATCTCTGGTAGTGCCATGACTGCATACTGCTAAGGTGTCTCACTCAAGGGACGACATATTTGTTCACTATTTCCTGATTATTACCAGTTATCTATATTTAGTCACTTCGTAGTTTGACCAAAAAATATCTACGCTGTTCAAGCTTAAATAACAAATATACTGATCTGATGAAAATAATAACTGTCTTCCCAGTTTAAATAATATACATAAATTCGTTCAGTAATTCAAATTTATCTCAAATTCCTCTTTAAAAAATCGAATAAAGTTTGATTACTCCATCAGACAGTTCCGTTTGGTTTATATTTATTTGCTTAATCTAAAGTTGTTCGTTTAATTACAAGAAAGGTGTTTTGTGTTTTATAAATGTTCTTCCCTTGGATCATGCTAAAATGCATGTTGATAAAGACCTACACAAAGTACTCTTTGATCAATCAAATACCTATTTCCTTTTTATATGAACTCATCTGTTTTTTGATCAACAGAATATTTAACTTTACTAAGTTAAATATTATGTTCATCAATAGAATTTAGTTTGACTTTATAGAACTGTCAGTAAGTCAGCTACAACGTAAGACCAGGCATATATGTGCATTGGTCCAAGTTGCCACACCTCATTAGCACAACAAGATGAATACCGGATTCATAGAAGTAGTTAATTCAGTGGTGGTAATATATAAAAGAAAGATAGCATATAAGGACATAGTACAGGAAGAAAGAATTAGTTCGTAGAAAATGTATAAACTCATTTTAATCTCACGGTCTAAGTGAGGACAAAGAGTGTATGCACCTACGCCATTGTAATCGATTGTGAACCACTTCACCCAGAGTATGCAACCACTAGTTACAATAGTTGCGCAGACCTCGAACAAGAAGTCTGCATCTATCAACACTGTTCAGACCAGATGTTAGTGTTATATCCCGATAAGAATAACGAATGGTAACTTTGGGATCCATTTATGGATCAATACTATGCGTATATTTCTATCGTATAATTGTTAGGTAATTAAACTGTTCATATCCATGTCCGTCTTATAGTGAGCTTTATTTTGACCCATGAACTATTATTATACGATTTTCCACTCTTGAGTTATGGCCTGTCTATTAATTACTACCTCCCTCATTCACAGCCACATTTGGCTAATTCTTGTACAAATGTTGTTTCATATTTTATGGTACGATGTGATCTGTTAAGTTGGTATATAGACGCAGTAGGCTTGAAATAAATGATTTATATTGCAGAGGCTGAGATTGGTGTTCTGGACTCAACTGGCTGGGCTAGGCGGAAAGCATGACCAATAAAAACTCTAGACTGCTCGTACGGGTTTTATGCATCGCTGGTCCGGTCGATAATCCCCTACTCTCTGATTGGTGGTATCATATACATTAACAGGGCACCCAGCGCACAGGTTATAACATTTAGTGACTTCAAGGACTGATATCATGTTTTAGTTTGGCCTCCCTTAACTTTCTTCCATCCGTTACTAACACTAGTCAGCATTGCGCGTCGTAGTAATTGGTGACTGTATACGCGTAATACATGGCCTAACCAACTGATTTAACCTACGTCTAACTTCACTATTACTGAATTCATTACGAAAACGATTCAGTTTCAATCATGATTTATTTCGAATCGAATTGTATATGATTTAAACTCTTTTCAAATCTATCATATTATTTTATTTTTTCATCTTAAGTTAAAATAGAAATGATCATATCAACCTTAATGAATCTTTTAGTTCAATAGATAATTTCATAGTTACAAATAATTAATAAATCCACATATAGAAAAAAGAATTGAATCTATACTTTATTTTAATTATTCGTTATTATTATTATTATCAACATCAATATTACAGTATTAATTTATTGATCTTATTGTTATCAATAAATGGAAAAGAGCATATAATATACAGTTAGTGTAATATAATTTACAGTATCGATTGATTTGTTTTATTAATGATAATTATATTTATCTTTCTTCTCTATTTTATTGTATCTATTCCATCCCAATAAAAAAAAGAAAACATAATTGTAGCTCAGTTTGTTTTTGTTTTTTACAGCTACGTCATGTATTTCTTTATTATTATTATTTTCTGTTTTTTGAGGGTAAAGAATCAACCAGAAAGTCAATGTTTATAGTTTACAGAAATAAAAAGAAAAATGCCACATTGGTTACTTTTCTTTTTTTAAAAAATTTAAGGTAGTAACTTTTTTTATTTAGCAGTGAATAATTAACAACAGGAGAATAGTAAATGATATCAATGATGTTAATATTATTGCTCTCATTCTCAATGTGTTTTTCTTTTCCTTTTTTTTAAAGAAAATAAGAACATTGTAAGTACATACACATACATATAAGTGTGAATCGAAGTTAGTATTTTGTATAGAGATTAATAATATTATGAAAGATTTGAGAATGTTGTTCCCCCCCCTGTCGTCACATTCTTCTGTATCAAATATCATGCGAGTTAAGGAAATAATATTGGATGTATACTTTCATTATGTTGTTTATAATTTGTAATGTCTTTAGGAATTTGACGAACATGATTTAGTTCCGCTTGAACAGATGCTAAATTTTGACGTAATAAATTATTTTCCATATGTGATATACTCAAGTCCCAACGTAATCTGGCTAATTCTTGAGTTAATTTCTCAGTTTTAGCTAATTGACCTGCTGCATTAGCTTGAGCTACTGATGCAATTGAACGCCAATAACGAATTTGTTCCATTGGACTATGGGAATGGAATGATTCAGATTGTATAATTTTACTAGAACTTTTACGGTCAATAAATTCTTTAAGAGATACTCTTTTCTTTAATGTATCATAGTTATTCATATCAGTTTTATTATGACCATTTAGAAATGAATCTTTTGACATTTTACCATTAGCAGCTTTCGTTATTCCATTATTATTATTATCAGTGGTGGTAGTAGAAGTGGTATTCGTGATAGAAGTATTGCTTAGTGGTGTTTGTAAACTGGCCAATTTCTGACTGTTTAAATATATTTTAGATAAATCATCTAAATTAAATGAAATACGAGCTTCATTTGATTCAGTTTGATGTATAGCAGTAGTAGTAGTAGTAGTATTAGTAGGAGTGATACTCTTTTCAAGAGATAATTTCTGATCATTATGGAATGATGACCATTGAAGTGGAATTTCGGGACGCGTCTTAGCCGACTTTTTTGTTAAGTCTAAACCATGTCGATGTTCTGGTAAACTATTGAAACATTTTCTAATTGATTTCGTGGTATTTTTGATTGATTTGATTTGACCGACATTATCTAAGCGTTGTTCCTCCTCTGTTTCATAAACATTAATAGTTGTATGTTCTGTGGAATCTGTTTTATAACTAATAGAATGTAAATTTTCTTCTGAAACACCATCAGCAAGTGAGCCTAATTCATATTCACCACTTTCTGTATGAAGCTTACGAAGTTGAAGTCTGGATTCTTTCTGTTTATTATTATTACTATTATTAATATCATTATTTGCATCATTATTTTTATCAATTGTAGCTGGTTGATGATTATTGTCCATATGATCACGTATGGCTAATAAAATGATTTTTTTCGATGTAAATAAAAGAAGGGAAATAAAACACATTTTTAGTAATTTGAGCTAAAAGATTCATTATATTAAAATAAATACTTTGGGCAGAGATGAGTGGTGGCTAGCAGCAGAATACAAGACGTACATTTCGTCTTATTTGGGACTCGTCAGCTGAATGTGCCTACACCAATTTGGGGTTCGGACATATCACTTTTCACTTCATACATCACCTAGTTATCCTCTTATTTCATCTGTTCATCTGTCTCTGCTTAAAATACTTGTAACATACTGGTAGTATCGAGGTAATCCGCACAGGATGCATGTATTCTAAAATAGATTGATCAATCGCAGTTCTAATCATCAATGGAAAGATTCAAACAACCAATATATACATGAATTAAAAAATTAAAAATGTTTATTTTTGTAAATGAATTTGCTTATACAAAATTCCAAACTAGTAAAAAAAAATTTTCACTGAATTTTACATAAAATAGAAATTAACTATTTAGACATTAAATGAAATTTACGTATATAAGTGATGAATGTAAATTCATTATTATAAAACGGTAATATGTTATTCACCCAAAGAATATAATTTAATCATAAAGAAACGGTTTAAAATATTAGATAAAAATATGTATATATGGTAACTAGCCGCATTTCTATTAAGTACAATGGTGATTTTCCATCAATTACTTGTTATTAAGGTTTTCTTATGAGCAGTTATTCTCCAATGTTATTATTTAATTATATTAATAAAATACAATTAAAACATAACTAGTGATGTAATGAAAACATCATTATAAAATGAAACTCTCAGATTTATAGTAATGAAATGTTTCAGCATTATCTTAAATGATATAACTTTGAATTAACACAAAAAAAGCACATTTAATCCATTCTACAGTAAATATGAACATAAATATGAGATAGATACATTAATATTATTATTATCATTATTATTATTATTATTACTAATGGCTTTATTCAATATTATATTTTGGTACAATATAGAATTTTCAGCACAAAATATTTCAACAAGTTTCTTTTGCAAAAAAACGGGAACAAAGATAAGAAAAAGGGGAAAAAGGGTTTTAAAAAATCTGAAAAACTGTACAACTTTCCAAATGAGAGACATGTTAAGAATGCAGGTTACTGACTACGTTAACTCTAACAACTTGTTCGTCACAGAGTATATTTACTAGGTAAGGTACTATAGAACTTTTATACTTTTGCTTGCGTGCTTCGACTTTAATGTAATTTCGTCTCGTTCTACCGGAAGATATACAAGGAGAAAGATATGAGTGGAGGGAATGGTTAGTATCTGATATAATAACACCTGCCAGGAGTTTGCATGACTTTAGATGTCTATCCACAATCATATTAATTATGATCTCGAAAGATTCACCACACACCTTGCTAACTGCCTTCAGCATTCTCCGCAATACAGCAAAGTCTTTTCTCAAAAGCCCCGGAAAGAATGATGGAGAACAGTAAAGAATAATAGGTAATATGCAAGAATTGACAAATTGTAAGAGTAAATGACGAGTAATCACAAGAGCATGCAATCTCTTTATGTAGTAAGTCAGACGGAAAACCTTCTTCGATAACAATAAAGCGTGAGAAGACCAAGAGAGATCAGAGGAAAAGGTAATACCAAGATAATTGACCTTCGACACTGTGTTTATCAAAGAGTCTCCAATGGCACAAGCATTATAGGATTTCAAAATGGTGTCTAGATGACGTTCATGTCTCATGCTAAAGTTAACAGCTTGATATTTAGACGGATTAAGTATGAGACCATTAACGTGTTGAGATAGTAATTGGAAAAAGCTTAAATTTATATGATTTAGTTAGCTGTCGTTCAATATATATAAAACATAAGGTTCAAATTTAATATCCCATTAAAACAATGACAGGCTTAAAACAATCTTTATCAACTGCATTAAAGTATTTTTCGGGTTGTACTCAGTTGATTAAAGATAATTAGTTTAAAAATGAGATAGTCAGTTATCGTAAATTTAAATATAAATTTGTTGTTGAACAGAAAATACTAAACTCATTCTCGAATCATTTAGATAGATGTTTAATACACCCTTCAGTAAAGTCAACTGACAATTTATGGGATGATTTGTTAACAGAGAGGTAATTGTTTTTCTGGTAATTAACAATAAGATTAATGTTACGTTTTTCACTTTTAATAATATGATGCTAAGTTATTATCGGAGAAGTCAGTAAACCAATCCCGTCTCCTAATTCATTAACCGTAGTTTGATGTCTTTATAAAATAGGTTGTTCATAAGTGTTTACTAATATAAATAAATGATTAATCTAAATATCTTAAAATGTATAATCATAATCAAAGAAAAACGTATCATAAACATTTCAGAAATTTTAATAAAAAAATCGATCATTTTGATATCGTTTGAAATACTAACAGTTTTGGTTAGCAGTGAAAGTTCCAAGGTTCATGTACTTATTCTTAACTGTCAGTAGGATAACAGTATTCAACATCCATAAACATTATTTTGGGTGGGTCCGAACTATAATTCGAAGTATAATTCATTCAGGTAACAAAACAATAATAACAAATCATTTAATTGTTAAATCGATATTAAACACATATAACAGGAATAGTGTAGTTCTTATGACAGGTATCTAGAAAATTTTCCAACCTACAAAACAACTAAATAGTAAGAAGTATAGCTAAGAGAATCTTGATTCAAGCTTACTACTACTGTGAATAGTAGATTGTATAAAATACAGCTGTCCAGTTATTAGTCCTGTCTCACTGAAAACAGAACCATCCGCATAACAACCGTTTATTTTCAACTTTGTGTAATATCAACGTCGTATGGGATTAAACTCATCAAGCTTTAATGTTTTTCAGAAATATCAATCTTTGAAGATACAAATATTTATTGTTCATAAACTATTCTTTATGAAAATCATCTTTAGTTTTTATAGAGCACAGAAGTTAATAGATTGGACCGAGATAACTAAATCCAAAGGTGATTATTACTATTATTATTATTACTATTAATAGCTTTATTCAATATTATGTTTTTGGTACAACATGAAATTCTTAGCACAAATTATTTCAACAAGTATTCTTTCCTTATTTCTTGATCGATCTTGACGATAAATATTAGGTGATCTCCAATTACATGCTAGCAGTTCAGGAATCGACATCTGAATAATATACACTTTTTTCCGTAGAACAATGCCTGTACAGAGGAAAGCTGTAAAATTTTCATAAACGCACAAAAACAATTATCTAGTTGGCCGAAACAGGTAGCCCAGACGTTTTAGCATTTTCCAAGTTGGATCACCTAATCATGATGCTCCACGTGTATATTTAGACAATAAGTGAGATATTATAGTTCCTTTTCAAATAATTAACAGAATAATCTGTCAGCATAAAATTTATTTGAATAATATATACAAAACTCTGTTACCACTGTTCATTTATTTTAATTTTTTTCTTAACCCGAAAACTAACGTTGTAGCTATTTATGATATTAAAATTACGAGGTTGATAAAATTATCCAAAATTTGAAGTTGTTTATGTCTGAATGACTAACGGTTTAGTCATTGTTAAATTCTGTTATAAAAATAAACATTCGATGAATATATCTTAAATAAGATTTATTTATTTATTTAAAATTGTCTTTTGTAGTTAGCCAATTCAACATAGAATAAGGATATTTTTATTGCCTGAATGAAAATATTTGTTTTTTTAAAAGTATACTGTTTACTTACATAGAATCTTGAATACGTATCATGCTTACATATATAGAAGTTATATTTGTTTTTTTCGTGTATTAATGGCACAGATAGAACAGTAAGACAATGGAGATAGTAATATAAACTATAAACAGTTAATAAACGTTTTCTAGTTCATTCTATAATCAATTTCCTTTGTTGTTGCTATTGTGTTTGTGTTTTTTTTAAATATTTAATTTACCTCGCATCAAATTACTATGATGTTCGAATAAGAGTAGGTTTTTACAATGATATCTCCATTACTTATTATAAAGGGTCCATGGTACGTAATAATAATAATATAAACTTATATAGATACGTACTTGATAAATTTTTATTCTTTATTATTACTTTCGTTTAAAGAATTCTGTCTGAACTATGACGTAAAGATTTAAGATATATGAAAGAAAATAAAAGTACATAGAAAGACACTTTTCTAATTAATTATTGTTATGACTGGTCGTTAATTATTATGTCTGGTCATCACTAATTATTACGTCAGGATCACTTATTACTTACACTTGTAAAAGGAGGAACCACTACAAACGCCACGATGCGAATAAGAACATTAAAAATGCCACAAGTGAAGATTTATCAAACCCAATACACAACGACGACCTTAATCGAAAATACACTCATTTATATATTGATTGTACATCAATTTCGATTATTAATTAAGATGAAATCACATGTATAAAAATATCCAGAATTATAATAAATCACATAATTAGTGTCATGCTAACCATACTTTATGTTAATTAAATAAAAGAATATCGTGTATTATACAGAATAAAATATCACATTAGAAACCAAAAACAAATACTACACTGAATAATTATCACATTGAATTAGAACGGAAGTAATACTGAACAAAAATTATAATCAGTAGAAGATCGTAATTTTGATTTTTTTTATCCCGTCATATCAATTATTATTATCATTATTGATGGCTTTATCAATATTTTATTTTCGGTACAATATAGAATTCTCGGTAAAAGGTATTTTAACAGATTTCTTTTACAAAGCAAAAAAAGAAAAAAACCAATAACTGCATACATATATAAATAAAACTAAATAAATCAGCTACTAGGAATTGATTAAAACAATTTTTTGGATATTAGAATCTGTATTTTTTAATTAGAAATATATTAACAAATACAAATTCTTGACTGAGTCAACGTTAACAACCTGTTCATCGAAAAGCACGTTTGCTAGATAAGGCATTGTAGAACTATAT